GCTCGAGGAGGGAGGGAGCCGGCGGCAGCGGCGGCGGCAACCTCGGGCCTGGACGAAGCCGAAGAATATCGCGGGCCAGAGACGCCGCGATACATTCAAAGCCCATCGCCATGTCAACGCAGGACAAGAAAGTGGAGTGCGCGATCGCCGCGCGGGCATTCAGGTGATCGAAATCGTGTCTGAGACGCGTCATGCAAGTCGAAGGGCGGAGTCGATCTGTAGTCGCAGGGCGCCACACTCAAAATCCAATCCAATCTCCCGCGGCCGCGATGAGCCGTGGGGCCCTGGCCATTTCGCGCCCGCTCTCTTGCTGGGGATCCTGGCCATGTCGTGGGAACCAGATCGTCGCGCGTGATATCTGAGTGCGAAGCAAGACAAAGACTGCGACGAACGAACCAAGCGCCAGCGCAGATATGCACGTCAACAGTGCCTACCGCGCACTCACTCAAGAAGGGCGTTGTGCAGCATTTCTCCTGCGGCTCCTGGAGGGGCTGCCCAGACCGCGCACTGGGCCCTGACCTTGCCCAGAGCTCGGGCGCGCAGCTGGCCCGGGCGCGCGTTCTTGGCTGGGGAGCCTTGGCTGGGGATCGGTTCCGTCAGGTCCACGTTCTGGATGCTGAGATGCACATTCTTCTGGCCCTGACCCCGGCGTTCCGCGGTGCGGGAGTCGGATCTGCTTCCGCGCCTCGTCGAGCCCTACCTCGCAAAGCCATCCCGCGTGTGCGGCGGTGCCGACTCCTCGAACATTTCGGCCCCCGGACTCGTTCTCGCCGCGGATTTGAGCCGCGCCGCGGGCGGCTCCTATCTCTGGGAGAGTTTTGCCCGCGAGCCGCGCGTCGATCCCCGGGGCCCGCAAATCAGAGGCATGCTGGGTTGGGGGCGGCTCTTGTCTGGTCACGACGGCGACCGAGTTCTGTTGTCTATCATTGAAGCCCGTGACGGCGAGAGACCCCAGACCTGTGTGGCGACCCCTCCGCAGCTTTTTCTATCCTTCGGCCTCGCCGGGCGGGGGCCCCGCGGGAGGTCTCGGTCCTGCCGGCAGCGCGGAGGGCGCCCCCTTGACCTCCTGAGAAGGCGGCGCGCCGCGCGCCCCGTCGCCGCCGCGCTTGAGGGCCCGAGCGGGTTCTATCGTTGTACTCTCGCGCGAGAGGGGCAGGGGGGTTGGCGGTCTTGGGCGCCGAGGTGCGGCGCTGAAGCTGAGCCGTATCATGGTGGCAATTATCGCCGCGTGCTGGGCACGTGAGACGAACGCTCGCAGTGGGATAAACAGCGTGCGCGGCGCTATCTCTGCAAGTGCCCGCGCGGCACGCGGCCTGAATGTGGCGTTTGGCAAACATCCGAAACGTGGGCATTGGCGCGCAGCGCGGGGGGTTGGTCAACGATCGCGCGTTGTGATATTGGAGGTCTTGCCGCGTGCGCCACCCGTCGTGAACGCGTCGTGCGCGGCGGGGGCCTCGCGCGTCGCGGGGCAGAGCCGCGTGCAGATCCGTCGGCAGCGGGGTTATTGCGCGTGCCCTATCCCTCCCCCCTCATCGACGATGAGGCCCGAGCGACCGTTTTGGCGCGGCGTTCGGAACGCGCGTGCGCGAACGCCCGCATTGAGAAACAAGTGCATCTCATGGTCACCCTCGACAAGCCGCTGGAGAGATCCGCCCCGCGCGCCCGTCCGATCCCCCGCGTCGGTGAAGGCCGCGAGGCTGGGCGTGCCATGCGCGGGTCGTCGGGCATAGTGGTTCGCGTCGCTCGCGGGGGCATCGCCGATCGTCGCGTCGTAGGTTCCGACGGCGAGACGGCCGAACCAAATCGCCATATATTGACCGCCATCCTCGGGATCTCGCACAATCGCCCGGCGCCAGCGGAGTCGCTGAATCAGCGACTCGCATCGAGTCGGGACAAGGCCAACCCAGAGACGCGGCGTCCGCCGAGGGGTCGAACATTTCGGGCGAGGACCACTGCGCTCGCGCGAGGCCCCTCTGGGCCATCGGCCGGATCTTACGGGAGAGACAAGGGTCCACTCGCGCTCTTGGGCAGTGGGGGGAGGGGCGAGGCGGCGCCAGATGGCGGAGCCTCTTGGGCCGCGCTGACAAAGATGAATGATGCGCTCCACCTTCCAGGGGGTGCCGCGCGCCGAATTCCCTGCGCGCGCCGCCCGCTTGTTGCGGCGTTTCTTGCGCTCGCGATCCAAGGTTCAAGCGCGCCCGTGGGCGCGAATGAAAGGCCCGGGCGTCGAGCGCGCGGGGGCGCGCGCGCGCCTCCGACAGATGAGGTGTAATCGAGTTGATCATCGTGGTGACCTCTCAGCCAAGGAACAAACGCATGTCGTCAATTCCTGCTTCTAGCCATAAGGATTGAGGGCCTCCTCGGGCAACTTTGTTGAATGGCGACAGCCGCCGGTGCTTCCTGCGAGCTCTCCCGTGCGACGGGGGGAATCGCGCGCGTCGTCCGCGCGCTTCGGCGATGGTGCATGCACGGAGACAGGTGCCAAATTACACGGGTCGAATCACTGGGGCTGAGGAGAGCGGCGCCGCCGAGTGTGGGTCGCTTGCTGGAAGTGCATGCGAGACGCATCGGGTGCCAGGGTCTCTCCCATCATCGCGCCAGAGACGAGCGGCGCCCGGGCATCTCCGTTCGCGGCCTCTTGGTGGGGGGCGCGCGTGCTGCGGTGGTCCTGCAATGGATCGGCGCCGCTGCGCGGCGCGTGCTCATGGGGCTCCCCATCGACTTTCCCAGGCGAACACAAGCCGTGGGCGCTAGTCATAGCGCGGAGGACAGCAGTGCGATGTTGGCGCTCACGTCGAAGGCGCTGCTGTGTAATATGAGCGACCATGATCGCATGTTCTCTTTGTCGAGGGGGGGCGCGACCTTGGTCAGGGGGAAAAACGTGGCCAAAGGGCGCCGCCTGGTAGATGCCGCGGCATATAGGTTGAGGAATCAGACGCAAGCCATGGAGACATCGCCTCCCGCCGTGCACATAGGAGTCCGCCAACCAATGAAATTGCCAGCGCGTGTGGGGCAATCGCCCAGTGCGCCTCCACGCAGCGGCCAAAGCGCCGGACGCCGTCATGATGGAGGTTCTTGAAAGTACCGCGGTTTGTCTCCCAGGGCAGCCTTGGACGGCTTCGTTTCGTGCTGAAGTAGTGGGGCGCCAGCGACATTGACCAGATCCCGCCAGGCAAACTTCAGCGTGGGGCTGATATGCGGCGGGGTGCCTTGCTTCTTCAAAACGGCAATGGTACGATCGAGGTCGTGAGTTAATTTTGTCTTGCCCTTGCCAGCGTTGGAAGAAAGGCCCATCAATCGCGCGACTTCCCGTCGTTGTCCAAGGTCCAGCGCGTCGATCGGCACTGCGCCAGATCCACTGCGCGAAGAATTGGCGCATCCTTGGGGTCTTGAATACAGAGTTTGTTCTTCTCGTTCTCTCTCCGCACAGCGTGGTAGACTCTCTGTTTTGGTCCCGAGCCAGTGCCTGCCAACTGTCTAAAATCGTCGTTGCACTGTAGCAAAATTGCGCAGTCTCCTGGCGTCAGGCAGTTCCTCCGTCCGAATACCTTGAAATTTCCGTCGCCACATCCGTGCTTTTCCTTGTGACCGAGCAGTGAAGTCACGAATCTGCGCGTCGTAGCGTTGATGCGGCAAGCTCTGTCATCGGAGGCGACCGCGAAGATTGACCAGATGCCGGACCTCCCGTCGCAGTCGCGTCGTGGCCTCGTCAGATGGCTGGGCTGTCTAGGCAAACTGCTTCTCAGCAGTCGGGAAGGTGGTGTCACGCAAACCATGGTCGCCCCGCTCGACTATGGAGATATCCAAGTGAGGTCGTCTTCAGCACGATTGCCAACAACTGCTCTCGGACACCGGGAGGTGTGAACAGCAATTGCAATTTGATCTTGGTTGCACCGAGCAGTCTGTTGAGGCGGACCAGACGGTAGCAAGAGCTCCAGTTGCATCATGACAGGTGCATGGTCGAGCAGATGGCCACTACCAAGATATAACTGCAAGTTGCGCGCAAGCGTCGTCATACTCAAGCAATTGGTAAGTCTGGAGCGTAAACCCAGCAATATGGTGAACTGATCGGTCCAAGAAACTCGGTGGTGCAATCCATAGTAACAGGGCGCCACGCGCACAAACATGTCAGGCAGGCAGAGGTGATGCCGTTCGAGAATGTGAAGAAACGCTCTACCAACATATCCTGTGCGATGTTGCACATGCGCGCCTATAATTTGCAAAACGCCAACGTCTTCGGGACTGAACGCCGTTGACGACGATGTGCAAGAGAGGGATCGATCTGCACGGCAAAGTGGCGAGCTCATCGTTGACACGCGTCGAGAACATGTAAACCGCCTGTTCCCAAACAGCATAGGCGTTGCCGACAGCAAACGGGTGGACATACACCGCAATCAAGGTAATATCCACCGTCCTGCTGGTGATGCGAACCAAACTACATCGCCTGAGCGCGGTGGCATGCGGATCGAAGTTCTGAATATATTGCCAGGAGTCACATGCCGAAGGCGGATGCTGATGGAGACGCCAGCACTGCGACTTATAAAAAGGCCGCGGCTCCAGCCAAAACGAATTACTGAAATGATGTGTGGTTTAAGTCTGAAACCAAGTCGTGGACGTCGCAATAAGCCTCAACCGTGTCCCAATGAGTGCGATGAACGAAGCATTGCGCATAAAACAAACAATATCTGCCAATCTCCGTGTCTGGATAAGAGAACACGGGTTGTAACCGATGAAAGTGCTGTGCGTGTCTACGCAGACCTCGATACCACAAGCACACGGCGGCGCACGGCCCCTTCGCTCCCATCAAAACTGCGATCAATGTAGGTTGCCCTGTAATGTGTGTGGGGGGCACGTTCATCAATCTCGATGTCCTGCAATTGGCTATGGAGGAGGGGGGAGGAGGGGGGGAGAAAGAGGGAGGAAGAGGGAGGAGGATGAGGAGGGAGGAAGAAGGAGGACGGCGTGAACGAGGAGGAACACCCGGCTGCCGAGCCCGCTGCCGCAAGTTCTCCAAGCCTGGCGGCGGCCGAAAAGCCACCGGGTGGCGCCAGGGGTCCGGCGCCCCGCGCGCCGCGTCCTGGACGCAGCGGCGGCGGCGGCGGCGGCGGCCAGCACCGCTCCGGATGTCGACGGCTGCGGCGAAGCCCCGTGCTTTGGTGTGGGGGGCGGGTCCCCCAATGAGGCTGCTGGTGCTGATGCTGAGGAATGCTGCGTACAAAATGTTTACTAAGGAAGCCACATTAATCATGAAGGATACGAAGTGGTCCTCAGTAAGGGATTCTGACTAAGGAGCCCTGGGTAAGGAATAGCTGGGGCCGCACCGTGGCCAGATCGGCAGGTGCTCAAATCGCGAAGGCGGGCCTGACCGTTCGCGGCTGGAGGTAAAAAAATGTTGCCTCGCTCTGCGCGGGGAGCCGGAGAGAGCAGGCATGACGGCAACATCACCAGTCTTTTGCATGCTTTAAGGGCTCCCAACTTCGCGCTTCGCGCTGCGCGAAGCGCGAAGTGCGAATAACTTCGCGCCCTCGCGCCGCCTCCCAGGGGAGAAGAGGAGGACGAGGAGGAATCGGAGCCGAACCGCGAAGCGCGAATAACTTCGCGCCCTCGAGGGCGCCCTTGATGCTTATCTGTCCACGTATTTGTCGGGGGGGGGGTCAGATAGGCGCTTCAGCACGCTGGGCGGCTAGACGCTGATACGATGGGGTGCCGGGCCAGGCCTGCCGCATCAGAAGTCGGCGCGGCTATGGCTGAGCCCCTGGCCCGACGGGGCGCTTAGCCAGGGGGATGGCGGCGACACGCCAGCAAGCCCATCTTCTCTCACTGTGAAGAAATCGCGGCGGGAGGAGTTTGCCGTTTTCGGGCCTCGGGACCGTGAAAACGGCTCGGGGTGAAAAACCAATCAAGGGGAAAGGGTCAAGAGCTCTGGGGATCAACGCTGCGCGCAATATACGACGTTCGACTTCCGAGGCGACAACACGGGGAACACGAGGCCGCCAGCACCGCGACGCCGGAACGGGCGACGCCGGAAGCCGCGACCGTGGGCGCTGCGGCTGTTTGGCGTCGCAGCTGTCTGGAGTCGCTGTGTCTGGTGTCGCAATCTTCCCTTCGACCCGCGGGCACCACCCGCGCAAGCGGTGCGTCCTGCAAGACGGCAGCGGCGGCAACGCTGACGGCGGCGGCGCCAGGAAGGGGCACAGCGTGCCGTGATGGCGGCCGTGGTCTCTGACGCCGCGTGGGTCGTTCAACCTGGAGCGATCGCGGGCTTGGCTCGGGGGGGCGAAAGACTCGGGTACGGGGGACTCGGGTTGGCCTGGCGCGACCATCATGAAAATGACGACCCAATCTGAGATTTGACGCGAACTCCCGCTGCAAACATCCCGCGGAAACTGGACCGTCAAAGCCCAGGACGGGCTCGTCAGAAAACGCTGGCACATCCGAGTTCTGGCGCACTCGAGTCTGACCACATGCGAACCCTACCCCTGCCCCCCCCCCCCGCGATTCCTGAGGGGGGGTGGCAGGGGTAGGGGCGCGGCGGCACGGTCTTCGCCAGGCAGCGGCTGCGGAATGGAAGCAGCATGGCTTGGGGCATCGCTCGGACCTGTGCATGCTCTCGTCGCCGCGGGCCATCGAGGAGCATCCTTTCGGCGGCAAGTCATGAGGGGGCTTGTGTGCCCTCGTAGATTCTGCCTCTGGGGGGCCACGCCGCCCCGATCCCGGACCCCCGAGGCCATGACTTTTCCATGACGCGACCCCGAGAGGTCCCGACCCACTCCCTGGGACCGGCTCCTCCTCCCGAACCGCTTTTTGACGGTCCCGAGGCCCGGCGAGGGCCCCCAGAGGCTGCAAATATAGAAAAACCCCTCGTCGTGATTAGAACCGCCCAGGATGCCCCGAAGACAGTTCCAGAAACCTCCAAGACGTCCGTCCCCAAGTCTCACCCCCCCAGATCGGCGGCACTGGCAGTAGTATGTACCCGATCGACCCAATATTACGATGGCGAGCGGGAATAAGATCGAATATGAGGAGAAAAAGTACTAGAGCTCAAACGAATGGTCGAATTTCGAGAAATTGAATTTAAACGGAGAAAAATTATGCAAAACTTCCGTCGATTTTTTTTGCGAACTAGCCCCCCAGCGCGCCGGAATTACTCTCTAGCTTCGCCGCTTCGCTCTTAGGGAAGCTCTACGAGTCATTTGCCCACTATCGGGGGATATTAAAAACCATTCGCGGTCAAATCATTGCGCGACCCCTCTCCCGAGCTCGACCGCCGCGCCACGAGCGCGCACCAAATGCGCGCTCCCTGGGTTGCGCCTCTCGTCTGCGTTCTCGTCCTCGCCCTTGTCCTTTTCCCGTCCTCGTCCCGGCCCCCTCCCGGAGGAGGAGGAGGCGGACGAGTGCGCGGCTGGATGAGTTCGAGTTGGCTCTGGTTCAGCATGAGGAGGAGGAAGAGGATGAGGATGAGGATGAGGAGGAGGAGGAGGAGGAGGAGGAGGAGGAGGAGAAGTACGAGGAGAAGGAGGAGGAGGAGTACGAGGAGAAGGAGGAGGAGGAGGAGGAGGAGGAGGAGGAGGAGGAGGAGGACGAAGGGCTGGGTGGGTGGACAAACGCGCTGCGCTGGCGACCCGGCGAATACCAGAACGGGGAACGCCTGCCACACCACGGCGCTCGTTGGGGCTCGCCCAGTGGGGATCCGCTTGGGCCTGCGGCAGCCGTCTCGCACAATTACACCAGCAGTGGGGACTAGCGCTCCCGACTCCCTCCCGCGACGAAGGGCCGCCACTGGGCGAGCACGATGAGGGGTCGCGCCGTGGCCGAGGACACGCATGCGCAGGCGGCCTCTGGGTTGCCCAGGCCCTGGCCAAGCAGCCGGTGGACAGCACCAGCTGCAACCATCAATTGCCAAATTTCAACATGCTTCTTCCGGTAGCGTACCTGGCGCCAAGTGGCATCGGGCACCGCGGGGGCTGAGCCAATGTGCCGATCGGGCGAACACGTAGCCCATGCCGAGCTGCCGCGCCCTGTTGCGTCTGGACAGGCTACCACACCAGAGGTGCGCTGCCGGCCACGAGCACAAGACAGCACGGCACGGCGCGGCCCAGAAAACGGATCCACCGCCGAAGCGCGCGAGCTGTGCGGCTGGAGAGACCAGCATCAGCCCCGAGCACCTGCCTGGCGCGAGGCGCGAGGTGCACCGGTGCCACCCAGCCAAAGACGACCGGCGATCCGCGACTGCAGGGTATGTGCAAAGAGGCGGAAGCCTCGCGTAGAGAGCCAACGCGGTGCCAGTGAAGTATGCTGTTGACGCCCCCCGCGGAGGGGGGGGGGCAAAAGGGCACGCGCAGGCGCGGGGTGTCCGCGCCGGGCAGCGCCGAGAAGGCGGCAATTACGTCACTGGCGAGCACACGCGGGCGCGACGGAAGAATCTGGGTCGATTCGGAGCCATGTCCGCTCTGTGCTCGGTCCAGAGGTTTCGTACCCCCGTAGTAACGGAGATGAAGGAGGAGGAGGAGGATGAGGAAGAGGAAGGCCATATGCGAGATCCATCCCCCGCACTCGCCCGCGCGCCCGCCGCGCGCCTGGTGGGCTGGACCCAGTCCCTCAACCGCGGCAGCGGTCAGGGGCGCTGTCATGGAATCGGGGGGCTGCCCAACGTCAGGGCGGCCCTACATCCACAGCGTACGAGCCCACGAAACAAACTTCTATTGCGCTACACTTGCACGCCGTCTTGCCCGTCAACGGCGTCGCAATGCATGCGAGGCGTGGGTGCGGTCTGGCGAGTACGACAACAAGTGCGCCAGGAAGGATGATCCTACGACGGCGGACTGCACTGAGGTGAAGCCCTACGCTCAGGCACCCAGTGGTAGAAGACAAGAGACCCTGACTACAGCTTCAACGCCTCCCGCGCCAGAGGTCAAATACACTGTCACAGAGGTACTGGCCCGAGGCCTTTACGACTTCCTGCGCGGGACTGGTCACAGCTGCGAGCACGACCAATAGGACCAAGATGGCCAGGAAGGCAGCCACAACCTGGGGCGCGTGCTACCACGACACTGCTTCGCCCTCACAGATGCTATATGGGGAGACCAACCTGATGAGCTTCGAGGGCCACCAGCTGAACTGCGACAGCAGGAGGCGAAACCTCGAGAGCCAGCGGGCGAGGCGGAGCGCGCCGGGCCCTCGCTGGTCTGACCTCCCTCGGGGCCTTCCTCCTCCTCTCATCCCCACGGCAGCTGGAGAGGGGAGTCTACTGCGACCCGGCAGCCGACGACTCCGACGTGGACCGCGGGGAGGCGACGGAGGCAAACGAGGAAGAGACTACAGTCGGGGCCTTGACCGAAGGGACCCTAAATAAGGAACGAGGCCCCTATTTTCATAAATTAAACTTCGATTTCGTATCGAAAAGCTAGGGGAAATCTCAGGCAAGGTGCGAAACAATTAAGGAACACGGAGCCCCTCCCCAATGAAAAGGGTTCCCTCTTCAGCGCCCCGACTGCAAGAAGGCAGACGAGGAGGAGGAGGAGGACTACGAGGAACACGGCCGGAAGGAAGAGCCCGACGCCTTCGCGACGGCAGCGCGGGCACGCGAGGCTCACCTCGCCGAGCGCCGTACCATCGCAAGCCGCACCGGCTGAGCTACGAGGGCCACCGGTAGAGCTGCGAGGGCCACCTGCTGCGCTACGAAGGCCACCAGCAGAGTCACGAGGGCCATGGGCTGAGCTACGAGGGCCACAAGCAAGGCTACGAGGACTACGAGGACCACCAGCAGAGAGCCACGAGAGCTTCCCGCGGAGCTACCAGGGCGACGTGCTGGAATGCGAGGGCCACGGGCAGAGCTGCAAGAACCACCGGCGGATCTACGAGAGCCACGAGCTGAGCTACGAGGGCCACAGGCCAACCTAGGATGGCCGCAAGCTGAACTACGAGGACCACAGGCAGGATTTCGAGGACCGCCAACTCAGCTGCGAGGTCCACCCACTGAGCTACGAAGGCCACAGACTGAACTACGAGGGCTACAAGTAGGGCTACGAAGACCACCTGCTGAGCTGCAAAGAGCCACCAACGGATCTTCGAGAACAACGGGCTGAACTACGAGGGCCACAGGCTGAACTCCGGGAGCCACGATCAGAGCTACGAGGACCACAAGCTGAGCTACGAGGGCCACCGGCGGAGCTACCAGGACGACGAACTGAACTGCAAGGGCCAGGGCCACGAGCAGACCTTTGAGAGCCAGCAGCCCAGCTTCGAGGGACACCTCATGAGCTACGAGAGCCACAACTTGAGCTACGCAGACCACAAGCACAACTACTAGCGCCTCCTGCAGAGCTACCAGGGGGACGAGCTGAACTGCAAGGGCGAGGAACTAAACTTCGAGGGCCACCAGCTCGGCTACGAGGGACACGCGCCGAGCTACGAGGGCCACAACCTAAGCCACGCGGGCCACACGCATAAATTCGAGAGCCCCCCGCAGAGCTGCCAGGGCGACGAGCTGAGCTGCGATCAGGGCCGCGATCAGACCTTAGAGGGCCACCAGCTCAGCTACGAGGGACACCTGCTGAACTGCCTGGGCAGCAAGCGGAGCTACGACGGCCGCGAGCAGAGCCGCGGGCGGAGCCACGAGGACCACCAGAGGAGCGACGAAGGCCACCACCTGAGCTACGACAACCACCGGCAGAACTAGCTGGGCGACGTGAACAGGCCGAAGTGCCGGAACACGCAGGACTGCGACAAGGGGTGCCGGTCCGAGTCATTGGGCTTAAGGGCCAGAGGCGCCACAATGGCCTCGAGGGTAAACTGGGCGCGTGGGATACCACTACGGAGCGCGGGGCATTCCGATCGGGATCGGTGGCTATCAGCGTCATGAGTACCAACGTCGAGCCCATCGACAAGTACTCGAAAAGCAGCTCGTCATGCTGTACCAAGAGACGGCTCGAGCCTACGAATATAACGACCCGATGCACAATGACGACGTGCTCGAGCGCTTATACGACCTGGCAGCCTCTGAAGGCCAGCCAGGGGTGGCCCCATTCTTCCTCGACGTGATCCAGGTCGAAAACCTGTTCGATGTAGCCTACGATCGGATGGCGCAATCGTTACGGCGAGACCTGTGTACTAGAAGCCGCGCAATCTCTCTCTCTCTCTCTCTCTTTAGCCGATTGTACCGGCTCAGCAGCGCTGCGGACAAGGGTATCACGTGTACGTCGAAGGAGTTGGAGGAGAATCAATAGAGGAGAAGGAGCAGGAGGAGGAGGAGGAGGAAGCAGGAGCAGGAGCAGGAGGAGGAGGAGGAGGAGGAGGAGGAGGAGGAGGAGGAGGAGGAGGAGGAGGAGGAAGAGGATGAGAAGGAGGAGGAGGAGGAGGTGGGGGCGCAGGCGGGGGGGGGAGAAGGGGAGGAGGCGGTTCTGTCGTTTCGCCGTTCCTGGTCGCCTCTCCGCCGTCCCCTATCGTTTCCCCCCCCCCCCCCCCCCCGTGCGCGCTGCGGAGAGTCACGGATACAATTTTCCACCCTCCCCCCCGTCGTTGGCCGGGGCGGAGGGGTTTCGATTGCGCCGACCGCCAGACGACGACAGCGTCTGCGCCAGCGTCAGGCGGGCACGAGGGGGCCCGTGCACGGGCGCGGCAGGGGGCTCCTTCTCCGAGCCGCTGTCGGCGCCGTCCCTGGAGGACGACGACTCGTGTGCCTAGCGCGCCCGCGTGCCCTCGGAAGAGGAGGGGGGGGAGAGGGGAGGGGGCGGCCCCAGGATCCAGGATCGAGGCTCTCGCTCTCCTCCGCCGCGGCCCAGGGTCCAGGCAGGGCCGACGGCTTCGTCCTGGACCCCCCCCCAGGTGGCCGCGGCTGGGTCCGCCTCCGCATGGTCAGAACGCGCTCGCGGAGAGGCCCCAGGGCCGATCCCAGCAACGCGTGTTATCCCGAAGCAGCAGCGGCCGCTGCTGAGCAGGTGATGCTCGTCACACCTGACTCGCAAAAAGGCTCGACCCCTATCTTCTCTGTTTCTCGAGTCGGATCGATCCGTGAGGGTTCCAGGGTCCGAGTCAGAGATGCAACATACCCGTCGTGATTCTTCGCGACGGCCAGAAATGCGAGTAGGAGGAGGGGCGCGAGGATCACGAGGACCTCCCACGACTCTAACGACTCCGCTTTTTGCGAGCCGCTGGCCCCTGGGAGCCCTCGCTTCCTCCCCCTTGGATTAGCTCCTCGTCCTGACGCGCTTTCTGATGGCCCTGGAGCACAAGAGTGGCCTCCCTGCCATCCGCCGATCTGGTCTCTGTAACCTCTGCCCGGGAGGCCATTTTGCGTCTGGTACCTGTTCTTGGTCCCGTGGCCTGGCAATGGGGCTCTCGAGGCCGGCATCGAGTAAAAATCCGCTGGTGGAAAAGTCGCGTCGTCGGACGCCTGGGTTGGCGCACGCCGAGGGGGACGCCGAGGGCGTCGAGAAGAGACCTTCGGGCGCGATTCCTGCGAGTCGCGCAGGGGTTGAGGCCACGAGCGCCAACGCGGGAGGGGTGCTTACACCGTGGGAATGAAATTTCTCGGTTCTGGTGCTGCTGGTAATCTGTCGGCCATCTGGGCAACCCAAATGTCAAAACTATCACCGAGATTGGGGTCATCTTCCTCGGTGAAGGCAACCGCCGAGATTGGTGCTGGTTGGAGGCAGCTGGGGGGTCTGAAGTGGACAGGGCCCCAGAAAATCGATCAAGAGGGGGGGGGCGAGGCTAAATCCGCTCAAAATCGGGGCCTGGACCACTCCTGGGTCCATCTGGTACGATTTTTCACCCCTGATCCGTTTTCAACGGCACTGGGGCCCGACACCGGCCCCCGAGAGGCTGAACGCAGGGCAACCACCACCCTCTCGAACCCAAAAGCTCGAACCCGCCCCTTCCTCCTCCTTTTCCTCCTCCTCCTCCTCCTCCTCCTCCTCCTCTTCCTCCTCCTCCTCCTCCTCCACGCCCCCAGCCTCCTCCTCCTCTTCCTCCTCGTCGTCCTCCTCGTCCTCCTGGAACCGGTGCTGGGCCACGTGCGACCCCCAGCCGGCTCCAAGGTGCTGGTGCCAACCTGGACAGGGAGCCCACAAAGGACGTACTCGCACAACCACGTACATGCATACAGCCCCCCAATCCGCGAGAACAGCCTCGTGCTACGAATGTTCGCGCGATGCGCACCTTCAAAGCCATCGCGGACTCCCGCACGTGCACGTGCTCTTTTCGCTCCTGACCTGCAGACTCCGACAAGGGATATGCGCGGCACGAGGCGGCACCGGACAACTGGCAGCCGGCGCGCCCGCCAGATATAGAGCCGTTTGGATGGGATCGGAGCAGGTGGGGTCGGAGGATCGCGCTGCATCGCCGCGTCGGCGATGCATCGTGGATGCACCGGCGACACATCGCCGATGCGTCGGCGACTCGGCGCGATCCTCGACCCCATCTGCTCGGGCCCTATTTGTGAGGCGCCGACGACGATGGACGACGGGCGACGGACGACAGATGACGGACGACGACGACGACGACGACGACGACGACGACGACGACGACGACGACGACGACGACGACGACGACGGACGACGACGACGACGACGACGACGACGACGGACGACGACGACGACGACGACGACGACGACGACGACGACGACGACGACGACGACGACGACGACGACGGACGACGACGACGACGACGACGACGACGACGACGACGACGACAACGACGGACGACGACGACGACGACGACGACGCCCCCGGGAAGGGCCGGGGGCGGCGCGCCGAGGCGCGGCCGCCGGAGCCGCTGCCCACGCCCGTGGAGCTGTCGCTGGCGCTGTCGTCGCCGTCCTGGGCGCGGGCGCGGCGGCGACAGGCGCCTGCGGCGGGCAGCCGGCGCCTGCGGCGGGCGGTGGCCCTTGGCAAGAGGGACCCTCCTGGGCAAGAGCTCGCCCCCCCCTTCCTGGGCTCGTCGCGGGGCTCTCGACGCCATCGCCGCGCGTCGCTCGGGCCCCGGCTCGCCCCCCCCTCCCCCCCCGAAGAGGAGGAGGAGGATGAGGAGGAGGAGGAGCAGGAGGAGGAGGGTCCGGATCCAGGCGCGCACCGAAGGTCACGGCGGCGGAGGGCCACTCTGCGCGCGTCGCCGACGACGAGTCAGCGGAGGGCGCAGGGGACTCGGTGCCGCGCGGTGCCTGGAACTGGGTCAGCAGGCGGGGTTGCCTGACTCCCGCTACCGCTGACCCCTGGTGACCCTGGTGCGCGAGCTCTGGGTGAGCCCGCCCGGCTCCGAGCGGGGGTCAGCCTGGGATCCAGAAATCCGACGATTTTGTTGTTGTTCATGTTGTTGTTGTCGTCGTCGTCGTCGTTGTTGTTGTTGTTGTTGTTGTTGTTGTTGTTGTTGTTGGTTGTTGTTGGTTGTCGTTTTTGTTGTTCTTGTTGTTGTTGTTGCTGTTGCTGTTGTTGTTGTCGTCGTCGTCGTCGTCGTCGTCGTCGTCGTTGTTGTCGTTGTTGTTGTTGTTGTTGTTGTTGTTGTTGTTGTTGTTGTTGTTGTTGTTGTTGTTGTTGTTGTTGTTGTTGTTGTTGTTGTTGTTGTTGTTATTTCAATTCGTTGTTTTTGTTGGCTGTTTTCCTCAATCCCCACGTCTTTCGCCGAAACGGGCCTCTGGGGACCGTCAATGGCCCCAGTTCCACGAACAATGGATCCGGGGAGCGTGAGTTGCACAGGGGAAGGGGTCGGGTGCCCTGGATTGTAAGACCCTGATCGGACAAGAACGGGAAGCGCCGCTGTAGTCTAATGGGCGTATTGGGCGAAGAAGAAAAGGAAGGCGAGGATAACGAGGAGTCGATGACGAGAACGACGTGGCGAACGTGAGGATAGCGAGGAGGAGCATGAGGACAACGAGGAGGAGGAGAAGGGGTCGGGTGCCCTGGATTGTGAGAATCCGCCGGCCCCGTCGGCGTGCATGTGAGGGGCTGGTCTGTTCGAGTCGTCGTCTCCGTCGGTCGTCGTCTCCGTCGCCCCCTTTTCCTGCACCCTCCTCGAGCTTGTCAGCGAGAGAAACCGTTAGTAATGTCGTAATCGAGTCCCTTTGATCCATCCCCCGTCGGGGGGGATTAGGGGGAAGTCCCGGGGGGGTTCCTGGGGGGGGGTAGGGAGGGGGTACCGGGGGTGGGTGGGCCCGATACGCATCACCCCCTGGGGATCAAGGGGCTTCGGAAAGTACCGAGACAGGCCAAGAGTGCTCAAAGAGACCCACAAGACGGTCCAAGAGGGTCCCCGATCGCCACACTATCAATCCCTAAACGCCTTCACGCCCGTCAGACTGCCCAGGAGGCCTCCAGGACGCCCCAAGAGCACTCCTGAGAGGGCCCCAAGAGGCCCGACTCATTGATTTTCCGTTGGTTTTTAAACCGTCTGGGCGTTCTCGCATTTTCCATTTCCCGCCGCTCTGAGACGGCGCAAGAGGCCCCCAAGATTGCCCCAAGACAGCCCAAGAGGCCTCCAAGAGGGTCCCCAAATAGCCAAGAGGACCCCTGGACAGCCCAAAACGCCTCCAAGACGGCCCAGGAGGCCCCCAAGACGGCTCCAAGAGCGTGACTAGACGGGGGACACGAGCAGACATTTCGAGCCCTTGGCCCCGAGCCCCAAGAGGTTCCCAAGAGGCCCACAAGAGGTCCCAGGAAGCCCGAAGAGTCCTCCAAGAGGCTCCCAAGAGGCCCCAGGATTTCTCCCCAGAGGCCCCCGAGAGCCTTCTGAGGAGACCCGAAGAAACATACCTGAGGACTCTTGCCCACGTCGGCGTCGTCATCGTCGTCGCCGTCGCCGTCGCCGTCGCCGCCGTCGCCGTCGCCGTCGCCGTCGCCGTCGCCGTCGCCGTCGCCGTCGCCGTCGCCGTCGCCGTCGCCGTCGCCGTCGCCGTCGCCGTCGTCGTCGTCGTCGTCGTCGTCGTCGTCGTCGTCGTCGTCGTCGTCGTCGTCGTCTGCCTTTAGGGTCGGCGGCGCCTGCCGTACGGCCACCTTCGCAGTCAGAGTGGCGGATGCCAAGACTGGGGAGGCAGACACAAGATCAATGGCACACGCCGCCGTGGAGGACCCCTCCGCGCGCTTCTGCTGAAGGCGCACCATGCCCTTCGGGCAAGAACGGGAGAATCTGACGCAGACTCCCGCTGCAAGCATGCCGCGAACACGGGGCCGCCAAGATCCGGGCGGGCCCGCCACGCAGCGTCGGCCAATCTGGGCTCCAGCGGACTTGAGCCTTGCGCCTCCCCGAAAGTACCCTGGCCCCTCCCGGGTCACGAGGCCAAGGACACCGATGGTTTTTGGCCGCCTGCGCGGTGCGGCTGGTGTCGCGGCGCCTGCAGGGCGGGCATCCGGGCAGGCCACGAGCGCCACGCGCGCGTCGGGCCCACCGCGAAGCTATGGCAAACGGCGCGCTGCAACATGGGCGCGGCACGCGCACCACGGGCACGCCGTCGGGCGCGCCCGGCTAGCTGTTGGGCCGACCGCAGGGCCGTCCTTGTCGCCGCGGCGGGGCCCGCCTCGGAGCTGCGGCAAGGGGCGCGCTGCAGCGGCCTCCCGAAGGTCTGAGCAGATGGGGTCGGAGGATCGTGCCGCATCGCCGATGCATCGGCGACGTCGGCATGGAGAACATCGGGCTCCACGTCGAAGAGCATCGGCGATGCGGCGCGGGCCTCCGACCCCATCTACTGTGCCACCACTTGGGAGGCCTGGAACCGTTGGTCCAGCGGTCGGCTTTCGAGGGGGAGGAAGGGCCACGGCCCCCGACGTTGTCTTTTGAGAAAGCGCGTTTCACAGGTGCTTGCCTTGGGACCATTCGGCGGCGCGTTTCGAACCGGGGAGTGGCCCCCCCCCAAGGGGGTGGGCCCCCCCCAAACACCCGGCGCCGTCGATCGAAACCAGGGGGGCTCCCCTCCCCCCCACCCCCCCCCTCCCGAACCCCCCACCCCTCCCACGGGGGGGTTCAAAACCCTCCCCCCCCCTTCGGCGCTGGCGCTGGCGCCGGCGCTGGCGCTGGCGGCCGCCGACAGTGCCGACAGCGGGGACGCAGCGATGATGACCAGAGGCAACCCAAGGGGGGTTTCAAACCCCCCCACCCTGGCGCTGGCGCCGGCTCCGGCGCTGGCGGTGGCCAGCAACGCCGGCGCTGGCGCCGGCGACGGCGGGGACGCAGCGACGATTACCACCACTACTACCACCACCACCACCACTACCACCACCACCACCGCCTCAACCCACCACCACCACCACCAACCCACACCACACCCACCATCACCACCACAACCACCACCCCCACAACTCACCATCACCGCCACCACCACCAAAACCCACCACCACCACCACCACAATCTGCCACACCACCACCACCACCGCCACAACCACCACCACTACCAGCAGCACAGCCCACCACCACCACCACCACCGCCACCACCACCACCAGCACCACCAGCACCACCTCCACAAACAACCGCCACCACCACAACCCACCACCACCACCACAACCCACCACCACACCACAACCAAACCACCACCACCACCACCACAACCCACCACCACCAGCACCACCACCAAAAAACACCACCACACGATCCCAAACCACCGTAACCGTCACCACCACCGACCACCACAACTACCACCACCACAACACACCACCACACCGCCACCACCACAACCACCACCACCGCAACCACCACCACCACCACCACCGCCACCACCACCACCACCACCACCACCACCACCACAACCATCACCGTCGTCCTCGTCGTCGCTCCCCGCCGCCGCCTCCCGCCGCCGCAGGCGCGGGCGCTGGCCCAGAAAAGGAAATCGTCGTCCCCGTCGCCGCCACCAGCCGCCGCCGATGCAGGCGCTGGCCCGATGAGAGAGGAGAGGGAGGGAGGAAGGGGGGGGTCCAAAAATACTAGAGCTCTAACGAATGTTCAGATTTTGAGAAATTGATTTTCAGCAGAACAAAATTATGCAAAACTTCCGTCGAGATGTTTTGCCAACTGGGAGCCGGCGGTAAAGCGTCAACCTTCCCCCCCCCCTCCAAGCGACCACAGAACGCGCTCGTTCCGTCTTTTTGTCGCCAATCCTTTCTCAATTTTAGTCCCCCAAAAATCGTTTCCGGCCCAACAGCCCGGGGCGGAACACGGGTCCCGGGGAAGGGGTCGGGAGCTCTGGGGGCACGTAGCAAAACAGCAAAGAGAGCTGCAACACTGGAGAATGTCTGTTGTTCGAGTAGCCCTTGGACTTTTCACTATCACGTCTTAATCAGTCTGGCCAGCCCGCACGTGCCTGCCCAGGCAGGTGCTGGCTTTGCTCTTGTGCACGCTGACTGCTTATAGAACGAAGGATCGATCGAACATCGAACATCGACCGAACGCTCGCCTAACTTGTGTTCGTACTCGGCTGGCCTGTGCGCAATCACGAATCTGACTCGTCCTATGCTTTCGCTTAATCGGGGGAAGACTCCCGAACCTAATCGCGCTGGGTTCACGCCTTCGGGCAACCGCAGCGGCATCACCCAATCAACCCAACTCAGCGCTTCGCGCCGCTCTTCGCGCCCGGACTCGACGTGGAGAAAGACCGCTCTCCAGCCCAGGCCGCCAACGCCGATCCCCTCCGCGTTCCCGACCAGACATTCCCGTGACAACTGGACTCGGGGAGGCCGCCTTGATCCGTCTTTCGAGCTGCGTCCGGCCGCGGCGACGAGGCGGGCCTGCGAGAGACCCCATAGATTGGAGGTCGCTTGGGGGGCAGCGTTGTTTCCAGGGCCAGATCCCAACACGCTCAGCCGGCGCGCCTGATCCGTCAATAACATATCCTTGCGACACCTATTCGCGACAAGTTCGGACCTTAGGTTTGCTCTTACCAACGATTGGGCTGCTAAGGTTTGCTCTTACGCTACGAGCATCATCTCCTCCTCCGTCGCCTCAGAAACACAGATCGCGTTCGATGCCCCTCAGCGAGCTGAAACCCATAGATCGGGGAGCTCGTCTTCAAACAGCGGGCCGCCGCTACGCCTTCGCACCCCCGCGGGGTGCCCCGGAAGGACCCCCCCCTGGAGCCAGGCGCGCAGCCCGGGGAGCTGCAGGGGAGGCACGGCGCAGCAGCGGGGTCCGCCCGCGACGGGCGACCCCGCCGTCGTTCGCGGCCGCCGCCGCCGCCTGTGAGGACGACCTCCATATTCGTCGTCGTCGTCGTCGTCGTCGTCGTCGTCGTCGTCGTCGTTATCGTCGTCGCCGCCGCCGCCGCCGCCGCCGTCGCCGTCGTCGCCGCCGCCGTCGTCGTCGTCGTCGTCGTCGTCGTCGTCGTCGTCGTCGTCGTCGTCGTCGTCGTCGTCGTCGTCCATGCAGCGCTCGCTGTGCGCCGCCTGCTCGGGGCAGCAGCACCGCCCGGGTCGTCCCAGCCTGCTCTCTTCCTGCTTCCTCCCTCCTGCTGCCACCCGCCTTCCGCTCTGCCTCCTGCGTCCGCGGCTCTTCGGCGCTCCGTCCTCCCTCCTCGCTCCTCCCTTCTCCTCCCTCCGCCCTCCTTCGGCCCCGACCCGAATCCTCTCAGACCACTGGGTCTGTCCGGGCCGGTCTCTCACCCTAGACAGGTTTCTGACTGTCTTGGGGCCCGAAGAGGTCAGATCGGGGCCGCAATCGAAGAAGCGCTGCCCGCACATTGTTTCGATCCTTCTCCGCGGCCGCCCATCGCGATAGCAAAACCGATGACCGACCGAGCCGACTGCGAGGTCGACACCAGCCGGAGCTGGCAGGCAGCCAAGCGGCCCACAGAGAGGCGCCGCGGCGCAGCAGCCGATCGTACCGAACCGACCGCGACGCAGCCGACTGCGACGCAGCCGCACCGAGTCGCGGACCACCCTCCTCCGTCGGTGGTGGGCAGCAGCCCCTTCAGCAAAAGGCACCCTCTCATGCCGCACGACCCGGGGCCGGGCCCGGCGGGCGCAGGTCCGGGGAGACACTGCGGCCGCAGCAGCACGTCGAGAGCCCGACAGGGGCAGTGCGCACATCGCCCCGGCAGGGCAGGAGAGCCCAGAGTCGAGCCGAGAAGTCGGATCGGCGATCGACATGGATCGGATCGGCGGCAATCGGCAGGCTGGTAGGCCTCCAGTGAGAACTCGGAGCCCGGATCGGAATCCCAGATCGCATCGGATCGGCATCGGAAGCCGTCGAAGCCGCACCGCATCGAAGGCATCGAAGCGAGCCCTGGCAGGGTGGGGCGAGGGGGCCCTGCCGTTTCCTCCGGCGCCCTCGCGGAAGCTCCAGGGAACCTCGCGGGGCCTCCGCCGAAGCCGGCCTCCCCCCATGCAGCGGGGGCGGCGGAGGCGCCCCAACGCGCCGTGGGCAGACGGCTCCGGCCCCCCGAGTAGGCCCCCGCCCCGAGGAGGGCCCGCCTCGCGGGGGGGGGGGGGGGGGGGAGAGGGAGGAGGCAGAGGCTACGCTCTGGCGTGCTGTTGGCGGTTGTCGGGTCTCTGGAACTCTCTCCGGAGGCCAGAGCAGGGCCCGCCCCGTGAGGCGTCCTGGCAAACATTCCGACCGGCGGGCTCCTGGGCGGCTCGAGCGGCGGCGGTGAGCCCCCCCCCCCCCCCGGGGGGGATCTCGAAGAGAGCCAAGCATGTCAAACTTCGCCCCCCCCCTTCCTCATCCACGTCCTCTCTCTTCTTCCTCCTGGCCGCCCAAATGGAGTCAGAGTGGACGGGGTCGGAGGACGGCGCTGCATGCCCGATGCCATCGGCGATGCGTCGGCGACGTCGGGATGGAGGAGTCGGGCTCTGTATGGCGGCATCGCTGGTGCATCGGCGATGCGGCGCAATCCTCTGAACTCATCTACTCCAGCCCCGTTCGGGCAGCCTAGATCCCACGACTCGAGTTTCTCGAAACGCTGGCAGCCACCCAGAATTCTCGACGACTTCCCCTGGCACGGTCTCTCATGCCGAACCGATGTTTGGCGGCCACCGGGGTTAGGACAAGGACAGGCCCCAGAGCACCGAAATCGGCGACAAAACCTCCAGCGCAAGTGTCTCCTGAACGAATGCGACAGAGATCAACGCGTCTCTGCAACCAACATGCGATCGAGAACACTTCGGGCGATCCCCTCAACACACACCAGGCGGAACACGCGCTGTGACGTGGCGTGCCCGCGTGCTTTGCCGTGCGCCTGACTACCGCCCCTCTTGAGCTCCAGAGCGCGACGCGTGCGAGCCGTGCCGAGCCGGGCCGCGCGCGTGCCGTGCCCGAGCTCAGACGTGCGACAGCGGCGCCGGGCCCTGCCGAACCCGCGCGCCGCCCCGCGCCGTGTGCGCGAGGAGGAGGAGGAGGCGGAGGAGGAGGAGGAGGAGGAGGAGGAGGAGGAGGAGGAGGAGGAGGCGGAGGAGGAGGAGGAGGAGGAGGAGGAGGAGGAGGAGGACGAGGAGGAGGAGGAGGAGGAGGAGGAGGAGGAGGAGGAGCGCGACGTGCCCAGGCTTCGAGACGGCGAGCACGTGCGGTGCCGTGCCCGCCGTGCCGTGCCGTGCCCACGCGTCCTCCCGTGCCGCGCAGCTCTTCGGGTCCCCGTGCCGATGCGGTGCTGTTCGCGGAGCTCTCGGGGGCCTGGGTCTGCGGAGGTCTCTCCGGAGGGTCCCCCCCCCCGCCCTGGGTGCCCGGCGGCCCGAGGTATTAGAGGCCTCCTAGATGGGGTCCGAGCAGATGGGGTCGAAGGATCGCGCCGCATCGCCAACGCATCGGCGATGCATCGGCGACGTCGGCGATGCGTCGGCGATGCGTCGGCGACGTCGGCGTGTGGAAATACGGTCTCAACATCGAGCCGCATCCTCGATGCATCGGCGAT